GGAAATGGCTGTGACCACACAGCCCTGGGCCATAGGGAGAGGGCTGTGACCACACAGCCCTGGGCCATAGGGAGAGGGCTGTGACCACACAGCCCTGGGCCATAGGGAGAGGGCTGTGACCACACAGCCCTGGGCCATAGGGAGAGGGCTGTGTGTCATCTCTTTTGGGGCCCTGCTGTAACCCTGAGCAGGACAAAGCAACCAATGTCCAAAGGCAGAAACAAGGAAGAGACCAGAGACCCAGCATTGGCTTTCAGGTCAGAAATAGCAAGGGAGGCAACCAGGAACTTAGGCACTTGGGTAACCAGCCTCAAGAACACAGGTAGGTCACTTAACCAGTAAATTTGCTTCTCTAGAAAGGAAAATGAGTATTTAACTAGAAATATCATTATACTTTGCCCAGCACCGTGCAAAGTCACTTTTGAAATTTTTCAAAAAATAGTTATTCATCTATTATGTGTGTATGTGAGTCTGTGTGTACCAGTCTTCTGGTGCCTGCAGAGATCAGAAGAAGGCACTGGATCTCCCAGAACTGATCCAGGTGGTTGTGAGCTGATTAATATGGGTGTTTAGAACCAAACTCAGGTCTCCTGCAAGTAAGAAGTGCTTTTAACCACTGAGCCAGCTCTCTCAGCTTCCAAGTCACTCTCCCAACATCTCTGAGGTGTGCCCCAATATTGCCCATGATTCCACCATAGTGCTGTTACAGGTAGCCAGGGCAGCAACATCCATACGTGACCCTTTACTAATACTTACCAGCGTGGGCTCAGTGGTGGGTGATATTAGAGAAAAAGATGCTCAGAGGACTAACATTAGGAGAGCCAAGTGAGTTGAGAATCCTGCATACTGGTCTCAAGAGAGCCCTCCCGCACTCCCCCACCGCCACCCCGTGTGCCAGATCCCTGAGATGCTGGCCCTGGCTGTATGCCATAGGAACCAAATGTGAAAGTGGCCACTTTCGTGGACACTCCAGCCTTCTCACCTGGGCAGACAGTGGACACTATTTCCCTCTCATGTGCGTCCCCTCTGAGATCGTCATCCTGTGGGTTGGAGCTCATGTCCTGCTCCAGATGGCCCCTCTCTTCTGTGTCCTGTGGATTGGAGCCCATTCCTCTTTCTTTTGGGTCTGCCTCTCTGTCCTCAGAGTTCTCAAAGTCAGAACCCATACCTCTGTCTTCGGAATTCTGGTGTTCATGCACACCCTGATGATCTTCCTGGTCCATCCAGCAAGAAAAGGGCAAAGGAGGTAGCCGGGGATTCCTGCTCAGACAAAACATGGAGAAAGAAAGGCTACATCAAGCCGGATCCAACCCTTTACTCCATGTGGTCTTGATTTCCCCATCCAATAAAACAGCTGGAGTTGCAAGCACCAGTAACAAGTCTACTTACTCCCGACCGCATGTACACTTAGGATAAACAACTGTGTGAAGGGGGACTTTTGAGTGGTCACATCCTGAGACCACATACCGACACTCACTCACGGGACCAAAACTAGATCAGGTCAATCTGGGAAGTAAATGTCTGGGTGTAAGTTTACACCTCAACACTGAAGTAAGCATTGCTTCTTTTTGCTTTTACTTTATTCCTTTATTTCTGTAGTGCAAGGGATTGAACCTGGGACTGCAAGCCCTCCACCACTGAGCTATATCTCCAGCTACTTAGCTGTTATTTTGGAACAAGGTCTTGCTAAGTTACCCAAGCTGGCCTTGAACTCATTCTGTAGGCCCGGGAGGTCTTGAACTTCCCATCCTCTGCGTCAGTCTCCTGAAAGGCTGGGATTCCAGGACTGTGACGTTCCTCTTGTCATTGTTTAAAACCTTCATGCGTATTTAGCTTCCTGACCTGTGCCTGTGGCTTCACCATGAGGAAAGCAAGCTTGAGCGGCCTGCTTGCCGCTGACACATTTGGCACACATGAAATCACCCAGGCCCTCTCCACCTGGGCACACACTGAATGCTTTTGCAATCTCCTTAGTATAAAGGTAAGCAATTCTCTTGCCAGGGATTTGGGGTAGAGAAAACTGTGATGGCATATTAAACCTAGACCACTCTGGATACTTCTAAACACTGTCCACTGTCCCCAGAGGAGGGGGGGGGGGAACAAAACAAACAACAACAAAACACTTTTACAGCTGAAAAGCAAAAGTATAGAAAAGTCCTAATAACAATTCTCCCTCGTCTGTGAAGACTCTAGTATAGACAGGAAGCCAGTTTTGCCGTCTCAAATTCCCATGCTTTCCTCCCTTTGATGAAGCCTGCCCTACACAAGCCTGTAACATTCTTACAAGTATTTAGCCGGTTACTGGGGGGCCTTTATCGAGCCAGAAGGAAAGTACAGGCAGTCCACAAGAATAACAAACATCAATATAGCAACTTCTTATCAAAGACTGTCTCCAAAGGCAAACTCAGCCTGGCTCTGTGGCTCCAGAAGGAAGCCAAGATGATTCAAGCTGTGGCAGGTTTGCTGGAAGCAGGATGGAGAGGTGGTGGGGCCTGCTGTGTTAGAGGCCATCTCCATAGTCCAACTTCATACATTGCAATGTGTCAGTTATAGACAAACTTTAAGAAGAATGTGTACCAGGGACAACGTGGCAGCCCTTCTACCAGAAAGCCCAACATTTGAATCACAGGGAGAAAAACATCACATTTTCAAGGCCTCTGTGGATGTCAGGTTTGCATCTCAAACACAAAGGGACCCTGTCAAGGCTGGGCAGTTGAGCCGATAGTAATTTCTTTCTGCTATCCGGCTTGCTTGCAGCTTAGCTCAAGGAAGTAAAGCTATAGCCAGGTCAAGGATCCGGGTCTGTGATCTGAAGGAAACCACTTCAACCAACATCCCAACCATCGCAAACAGGACTGCAGGAATAAAGCTGGTAGGGGAGGGAGTAGTGGCCGGAGATGTGACGCAGTCTAGAGAGTACTTGCCTGTCACACACAACACAAACCCTGAGTTAATCAGACATGCCCATGTGTCACCGTGACGCCGCACTCAGAAGACAGAGGCAGGAGGATCAGAAGCTCATGCAGCGAGTCGGAGGACAGCTGGGTCACATTAGAGACCCTGTCCCAAAAAAGAGAGAAAAAGGTACGGTAGGCAAGGCCATCCCATCCTCCCCTCCTCTACCGAGGCCTCCCTGAGGAAGTCCTGGTGCTGGCATGAAAAGTGGAAGTTATGGGTAGAAGAAATCCCACCACTGGCTCAGGCGGGCCCAAGGCAAGTCAATTAACCTCTTACAGTTTCAGAGTCTCATCTGTAGAAAGAGGGTATTGCTGCTTAACCTTTCTCACGGGGACGGCGTCAGAGGGAAACTAATTAAAAAGCACTTTGAAGGACACCGGAGAGTCGTTAATGCTCCGAGCTTTCACTGCTGGGAAAGCCGTGCATTCGTCCTCTGTCTTCTCAGCACGCCTCTCAAAGGCACAGCGGCTGCCCGTCATTCTGGGGGACCACCCCGTCAGCACCTTAGATCTTTCTCAATAATGAGGAAAGCAGAAAGATTGAGCCCTTCCCTAAATGTCCTGGGGAAGCGTGTCTGAACTCAAGTCAACAGTATCCCAAAGGACTGTACCTCCCCTTTGGAAGGTAGCTCAACTAAGCTGCCAAATCTCAAACAGACGTTTTATGGTAGGAAGAAAGGGAAATTATTACAGCCATGAACCTCCTAAGAAGTGTTTTCCATATGAGACTTCTGTCCCCAGTCACACTGCACAAGACCGACTAGACAAGTGCATCCCTAGAGTCTGCACATACCATGCACCCGAAGGTGGGGTTTGGAGAGGCAAGAGGAGGCTTGCAAAAGTGGCTTACTGGTTTGCTGGTGGGGGAGGGGCTTAACAAGAGAACCGATCAATGTTTCCTAGCAGTCAGTGTAGCAAGAGAAAGGGGTGTCCGCCAGTGTGCACCACCAGAGAGCCCTAAAACTAAAGGCCAGTGACAGCAGCCGGCCTCCCTGAAGGGTGGAGCATGGCGGGGAGCAAGGGGGTACAGCTTTACCTCTGAACCCTTTAAATGGCAGCTTGGGGACCGTCTGATTGGTGGTGGTGCGTCCAGGGACCAGATCGAATCCAGTAGCACTGTTTTTCTAACTTAAAAGAGAGTTAGGATCCGAGTTCCCCCACTGAGGGCTGGCATCTGAGGTCACAGTACTTGCCACGCTGAATGTTCTAGAAAGGAGGAGAGCCCCTATCATCCAAAGTGGCAATGTTCACGTATTTGTTCTAAAATGCCTATGTCCGTGGGAGACTAGAAGTCTGTGCCTGCTGCCCCTCCACCCCGCAGACACACACCTGCAATAACACAGATTCAATTTCACTCACACCCTCCTGTCCTAGATTGTAGGCAGCTGTCAGGCAATGGTGGCAGCTGTTTAGAGGTAAGCATAGGTGGTCAAGATATGTCAATTGATAAAAAGCCACAGCTGGTTTTAAAATACCTTATTTTCATTAATATAGACACAGTAGCATATTCCATAACACAAATACACACAGGCTCAGAAAGGAAGGCCAGGAGATCATTATTAAAATGTCGACTATCTCTTGATCACTTCTTGGAGGCTTCTGGCTATTAACTCTTATCTTACCAAAATCCAGTGACGTAGGCTATTTCTAACTCACAGACCAAAAACAGGAACAGACTTGATTACACCAAGGTCCTACACAGTGTGAACTGGCAGCACAAAGTTGGACCTTCCCAGACTGCTTCTGATGCTTTAGGACGTCTTCGTCATTTTTATATGCATCTGCATTTCCAACAGTAAACATGTATTCTTTTTTCAACAAGGAAAAATGGCTACCTTTATTTTCAGTGTGATCAATATGTTAAAGGAAAACCTGTAATTATCCTAGAAGTAACAGAAAGACAAGCAGAGGAGTCGTGACTCTGCCACCCTAAAGACTTCATTTTCAGAAGGGCTATCTACTCACCCTAGGATAACCAAATTGTCTATGCAGGCATATTTTACTCCAACCTTTCTTCCTCATTCTCAAAAACTAGCAACATTTTTTCTTAAGCTCAGTCAGGGTTGGATAAAGAGTAGGCAGCGTGGAGGGAGTGATGACTTTGTAGCCAGATTGACCATACTTGAAATGTCTGCTCTGGACCAGCTGCTTGACTTTATGTGAGCCACATGACCTCGTAGGAGCTCTTAGCCTGCATCCATGAAAACAAGGAGGCTGCCACCTCCACGCAGGGTCATTCTGGGAGCTTGTAAAAATCACATTTGTTAAGGCTGATGATGCATTAGGTGCAGAGGGAACAGAATTTACAATTCCTTTATAAAGTTCCAGATCAACATCTCGACTTAAGCAATTGCACAGTAAACTAAGGCCACTATCCACAGCTATGTTCCCTAGGAATAGCCTTTCCTACTTCGGGAGGACCTTCCCTCAGCCTTGCTGCTGTTAATAAAAAACTCACCATGTGAAGACAAGAACCAAGGAAGGGGCAGTCGGCTAAGGGAGCTGGATACAGCGTGAAAAGCTGGTAGTTGCAAAAAAAAAAAAAA